GATTGGGATGGTCACATCCTATGAAATTTATAAATTTTTATATATAGCACGAATTATTGTTATTCTTTGAGGTATCGGTTCGAACATCAGAAATGTTAGGGGTGTGAGTGCTCAATGTCAAATAGTGAAGAGTTATTTATGAACATATATTGTCTTATACTTATCCAAAGTTAACAAAAAAATATTTAATTTAATTATATTTTTTATTTTATCAATAACATAATTTTACATCTATTGAAATTTTATAATTTTATATTTTTAAAATTTCTAATATAAATTTTTAAAAATTTATGTAAAATTTTATATCATTCTTTCGTGTCATCAAACATATTTTAATAAATAATATATTCCACTTTAATTAAAGTGATATTATTGAAAAATAAATTTCAACAAATCAGTTAACATTGATCCCACCATCTGTCACATGCATGCCATAATGACATTTGAATTCTGTTAAGATTTTGTTTTTCATTCAATTTTCCCCTTCGCTTCATCACTTCACATCTTTTATTTATTCCTCATTAAGATTCTGTTAGGAAATTCGTAAACTAAGAAAAATATATATTTATAAATATTAAATTCAATTATAAATCAAACAATACACATAATTGAATTTGAAAATAAAATAAATCTAAACTTACAATAAAATAAATTCAGATAGACTTATAAAAAATGGGATCAGTATCGATTCTTACTTTACACGAGTAGAGACTTGAATCGATACCCAACCCACTAGAGCATTATAGCTTCATGTGACACGTTATCAGGGGCGAAATCATAAATTTATTAGGAAGTCAAAATATTTTTGTATTTCTTAGAAATATAATTTTTTTTTTCAATTGAGAAGCCTAGTAGAACTTATTTTTCTTTTCTTTTTTAATAAAATTCTCAGTATTAATTAATATTAAGAAATAATTGACAGGGACCAAGACTCCAGTTGATCCCTGTCTAGTTCCACCCATGCACTATTTAGTTTAATGAATTTTTTTGGGAGGATACAATAGTTCCAATACAATATTTTTTTGTTGCATCCGTTTATACTGTATAAAACTAATAAGTTTTATATTTTTTTAGGATAGTTGGATGAAGGGAAATTAAAAGCTGAGATTAATAATAGAAAATGAAAAGATATTAACTGAAGAAGAAAAACAATGAGTTAATCTTAGCCTTTGATTTTTCTCGTCCAAAGATATTAAAAGAGTGTGAAACTAAAAAAATTATTTAAACAATGTAAATGTATCCTAATCGTGTGTATGTATGTATGTATGTATGTATGTATGTATGTATGTATGTATGTATGTATGTATGTATGTATGTATGTATGTATGTATGTATGTATGTATGTATGTATGTATGTATGTATGTATATGTATGTATGTATGTATGTATGTATGTATGTATGTATGTATGTATGTATGTATGTATGTATGTATGTATGTATGTATGTATGTATGTATGTATGTATGTATGTATGTATGTATGTATGTATGTATGTATGTATGTATGTATGTATGTATGTATGTATGTATGTATGTATGTATGTATGTATGTATGTATGTATGTATGTATGTATGTATGTATGTATGTATGTATGTATGTATGTATGTATGTATGTATGTATGTATGTATGTATGTATGTATGTATGTATGTATGTATGTATGTATGTATGTATGTATGTATGTATGTATGTATGTATGTATGTATGTATGTATGTATGTATGTATGTATGTATGTATGTATGTATGTATGTATGTATGTATGTATGTATGTATGTATGTATGTATGTATGTATGTATGTATGTATGTATGTATGTATGTATGTATGTATGTATGTATGTATGTATGTATGTATGTATGTATGTATGTATGTATGTATGTAGTATGTATGTATGTATGTATGTATGTATGTATGTATGTATGTATGTATGTATGTATGTATGTATGTATGTATGTATGTATGTATGTATGTATGTATGTATGTATGTATGTATGTATGTATGTATGTATGTATGTATGTATGTATGTAGTATGTATGTATGTATGTATGTATGTATGTATGTATGTATGTATGTATGTATGTATGTATGTATGTATGTATGTATGTATGTAGTATGTATGTATGTATGTATGTATGTATGTATGTATGTATGTATGTATGTATGTATGTATGTATGTATGTATGTATGTATGTATGTATGTATGTATGTATGTATGTATGTATGTGTATGTAGTATGTATGTATGTATGTATGTATGTATGTATGTATGTATGTATGTATGTATGTATGTATGTATGTATGTATGTATGTATGTATGTATGTATGTATGTATGTATGTATGTATGTATGTATGTATGTATGTATGTATGTATGTATGTATGTATGTATGTATGTATGTATGTATGTATGTATGTATGTATGTATGTATGTATGTATGTATGTATGTATGTATGTATGTATGTATGTATGTATGTATGTATGTATGTATGTATGTATGTATGTATGTATGTATGTATGTATGTATGTATGTATGTATGTATGTATGTATGTATGTATGTATGTATGTATGTATGTATGTATGTATGTATGTATGTATGTATGTATGTATGTATGTATGTATGTATGTAGGTATGTATGTATGTATGTATGTATGTATGTATGTATGTATGTATGTATGTATGTAGTATGTGTATGTATGTATGTATGTATGTATGTATGTATGTATGTATGTATGTATGTATGTATGTATGTATGTGTATGTATGTATGTATGTATGTATGTATGTATGTATGTATGTATGTATGTATGTATGTATGTATGTATGTATGTATGTATGTATGTATGTATGTATGTATGTATGTATGTATGTATGTATGTATGTATGTATGTATGTATGTATGTATGTATGTATGTATGTATGTATGTATGTATGTATGTATGTATGTATGTATGTATGTATGTATGTATGTATGTATGTATGTATGTATGTATGTATGTATGTATGTATGTATGTATGTATGTATGTATGCATGTGAGATAGGATCTGATCACATAGTATAAAACTTTTTAATTTAAATATATTTAAGATAGATGAATGAGTGAAATTAGACAATTGAGATTAACGATAGGAAATGAGAAGATACTTATTGGAAAAAAAACAAGGAGTTAATCTTAACCATTTATTTTCACTTGTCCAATGATTTTAAACCCGTGTAAAATTAAATAATTTTACATTGTGTAATTGTATCTTAATCTTGTATATATATTATAATTTAAATTCGAATAACATAAAATAGGCTCATACATGACAAGATTTAAACATTTGAGATCCTTCAACTTTATGGTAATTATTGATGAATTCGATCTAAAATTACATATATATAAATCTATAATTTAACACACACTCTTCCTAATTGTTTCCTAATTATAAAAAATATACTATTTAATTAGAAATTTGATCTGGAACTACATGGTTAAACATAATAATTTTCTCTTACAGACCAAAGAAACATCGATCAACCTTTTACAGTGACAGATATCACTTCCGTCGGTAGTAAAATAGTCAAACGTCGCTAAAAGTACAGTAATTTGTCTCTTCTATCGATACTTTTCGCTCACTTCTTTAAATGTGTCCATTTGATTAATCGCAATGAGCCACGTGAAAGAGATTCGTTTAGTCTTTCAAAACCTCCTTTGTTTAATTACCGACATTAATGATGATTATTTTAAAATATAAAAATATCTTGATGTCTGAAAATATTTGCATGTAAATGATATTACAATAATTAGTCAATGTGGTTATTAAAAAATATTTTCTAACAAATTCATGAATGAGAATATTAATATTAATATATTTAGGAATCAATAGCGAATTTAACCGGGATTTTAGGACAATGGGGTGTGGGAAGCTTGAATCATTATTTCTTGCACGAAAAAGGAAATCGATTGTTTTATTTTAGGTAAATTACGCGTTTAATATATAAACGATCAATTTTGATTTGTTTTAGTACTTAAAACTTTCAATTTTTTTAAAATCATATATAAATTTTAGTTTTTGTTTCATTTTAGTAATATATCGCTAAAAATTTTAGTTTTTATTTTAGTATCCGTTCAAAAGTTAACGTTAAGTTTTTCATTAAAATTAAAATATTTTAAAAATATATAATTTATTATACAAATACATAAATTAATGTTAATAATTTGTAGCATTACACGTTGAAGACTGAGAAGGGAATATTAGAAGTAGTTGTTAAGTTATGGGTTGGATTTAAATAATTTTATATTTCAATTTGACTTTATATTTATATTTAACCAATAAAATATGTTTTTATTAAAATTAAATTGTATATTTTAGAATTATATAAAGTAATAAAATAAATTTACGAATCAACCAAAATCTGAGTAAGTAATTTATTTTATGATTCATGTCTGCTCCTAGCGAAGATAGAATTAGCCGTTGGATGAAGAAAGAGTGGATATGACCTTATTCCTGTTTTAGGCACTATATTTTAAATAGTTTCAATTTGATCACTCAATTTTGATGTACTCTATTTTTAAAAACTTCACATTTGATTTACATTTAATTTAAATCTCGGTAGAGGAGAAGTGGAGTAGGAGGAGACAGACAATATATCCCAATTACACGTATATCGAATGACGAGAATTGTAAATCGAAGTCAATTTTTTTTTTTAATTTTGAGTTGAAGTTTTACGAATTTTAAAGATGTTATGAGAAAATATAAATTAATATAGTGAAAAAATATAATAATATAATTGAAATTTTGATTTTTTTTTAAATTATCAAAATATATTGTACATATTTATCATTATATTATTTCATATTTATATAATGATAATGTTTTCAGATCGATTTTTCAAGTTTCTTTATTATATTAACATAATTGAAATTAATTGAATTTGTCCCTCTTTAGACAGCACACCATCAACGACTATTTTTCCATTATATATACTCTTCATTTCATGCAAGCTTCTGCAATTTTCTGTAGACACCACCAGAACGAAATTCCTTCCCCCTTTTTCTTTTCTTCCAAACAGGAAAACTCCGAGAGAATCTTGGTACTTTGACCGGCGGTGGTGCTCTTTGGTCGTCATCTATGATGGTTCGGCGGGGCAACCCGACGAGGGGCCGATTTTGGCCCCAAATGCTAGTGGCTGTGGCCGTAGTTGTTCTTGCGGGCAATGTAGGTTCAGTGTCTGCTGATCCTTATATTTATTCTTCGCCTCCACCTCCTTATAAGTACAAATCACCACCACCACCTTCTCCTTCTCCACTGCCGCCTTATGTGTATAAGTCTCCACCACCACCATCACCTTCTCCTCCACCTCCTTATGAGTACAAGTCTCCACCTCCTCCATCTCCATCACCACCTCCTCCGTATGTTTATAAGTCTCCACCGCCACCACCTAAACACGAGGAGCAGCCCCCATACGTCTATAAGTCTCCACCACCACCTTCACCATCCCCTCCACCTCCATACGTGTATAAGTCTCCCACCACCACCACCTAACACGAGGAGCAGCCCCCGTACTACTACAAGTCTCCACCACCACCTTCACCATCCCCACCACCTCCATACATATACAAATCTCCACCACCACCACCAAAACACGAGGAGCAACCCCCATACTACTACAAGTCTCCTCCACCACCTTCACCATCCCCACCACCTCCTTACGTCTACAAGTCTCCACCACCACCACCTAAACACGAGGAGCAACCCCCATACTACTACAAGTCTCCTCCACCACCTTCACCATCCCCACCACCTCCATACGTTTACAAATCTCCTCCACCACCACCAAAACATGAGGAGCAGCCCCCGTACTATTACAAGTCTCCACCACCACCTTCACCATCCCCACCACCTCCATACGTTTACAAATCTCCTCCACCACCACCAAAACATGAGGAGCAGCCCCCGTACTACTACAAGTCTCCACCACCACCTTCACCATCCCCACCACCTCCATACGTCTACAAGTCTCCACCACCACCACCGAAACACGAGGAGCCCCCGTATTACTACAAGTCTCCACCACCACCTTCACCATCCCCACCACCTCCATACGTCTATAAATCCCCACCACCACCACCGAAACATGTAGAGCTGCCCCCATACTACTACAAGTCTCCTCCACCACCTTCCCCATCCCCACCACCTCCATACGTCTACAAGTCCCCTCCTCCACCACCGAAACACGAGGAGCAGCCCCCATACTACTACAAGTCTCCACCACCACCTTCACCATCCCCACCACCTCCATACGTCTACAAGTCTCCACCACCACCACCGAAGCACGAGGAGCAGCCCCCATACTACTACAAGTCTCCACCACCACCACCGAAGCACGAAGAGCAGCCCCCATACTACTACAAGTCTCCACCACCACCGGTGAAATCTCCTCCTTATTACTACAATTCTCCACCACCACCAAGTCCTTATTATCCTCACCCTCAACCTCACCCCCACCCGCACCCGCACCCCCATCCCCTCATTGTCAAGGTGATCGGAAAAGTTTACTGCTACAGATGCTATGACTGGACCTATCCAGTGAAGTCACACAACAAGAAACATCTCAAAGGTACAATTCAAACTTAATTTAATGCATTATTAAATTAATTCATCTTACATTTTCATGTTTATTAGCTTATTTTTATTTTATTTTTACTTTCTAATTTTCATGGAACTATCAATGTAATGTACTGTAGGGTTTAAGATATGATGTTTTGAATATTTTAATACAATTTGATGCAAACGTAATAATTAAACGAATCACAGAATATATTATTTACAAATAAATTAAATTATAAAATAAAAATTAATCATACACAAATATAGAACATGTTCAATAATATATATAAAATATATAAAAAAGATATTTTTGTTTCTTATAGTCTGTACATGAATAATGACTTAAAAAAGCATGTTTTGATTGACTTTTAAGCAAAAGAGGAATGACTGTTTCAATTATTGCACATGGAGCAGGTGCTGTCGTGGAAGTGACATGCAAAGCAGGAGATAAGGAAATCACTGTCTACGACAAGACTAGAATCAATGGCAAATTCAGCGTTGCAGTTCCTGGGTTCGACTATGCTAAATATGGAGCCGACGCTTGCACGGCCAAGCTCCATGCCCCACCCAAGGGTTCACCATGCAACATAGCCACGAGCCTACACAAGGGCGACAAGGGTGCCGAGCTCAAGGTCTATTCAAAGGACAAGTACGAGGTTGTGCTCAAGGCTAAGCCATTTGCTTATGCTCCCAAGAAACCATACAAGGGATGCGAGAAACCGAAACCGAAGCCTCCGGCTCCGTACTACTACAAATCTCCACCGCCACCGTCACCGGTTTACGTCTACAAGTCACCACCTCCACCGGCTCCTACTTATGTTTATAAGTCACCACCACCTCCAACACCCACCTATGTTTACAAATCTCCACCACCACCAAGTCCTACCTATGTCTATAAGTCACCACCTCCTCCACCATATTACTACAAGTCTCCACCACCACCAAAGCATGTTGTGAACCCCCCATACTACTACAAGTCCCCACCACCACCGAGCCCCACTTACGTTTACAAGTCGCCACCACCACCGACCCCTGCTTATGTTTACAAGTCACCACCTCCTCCCCCATACTACTACAAGTCCCCACCACCACCAACTCCCACATACGTTTACAAATCACCACCACCACCACCACCCACCTATGTTTACAAGTCACCACCTCCTCCTCCATACTACTACAAGTCTCCACCACCACCGAAGCATGTAGAGAATCCCCCATACTATTACAAGTCTCCGCCGCCACCAAGTCCCACATATGTTTACAAGTCACCACCTCCTCCTCCATACTACTACAAGTCTCCACCACCACCAAGCCCCACATATATTTACAAGTCACCACCACCTCCGTACTACTACAAGTCTCCACCACCACCGGTCCACTCTCCACCACCACCTACTACAAGTCCCCACCTCCACCACCAAAACACGAAGAACACCCCCATACTACTACAAATCTCCTCCCCCACCATCGCCGTCTCCTCCTCCACCATACTATTACAAATCCCCGCCACCACCAGTCCACTCTCCACCTCCACCATACTATTACAAATCACCACCACCACCAGTCCATTCTCCTCCTCCACCATACTACTACAAGTCCCCACCCCCACCACCAAACACAAAGAGGAACCCCCGTACTACTACAAATCCCCACCACCACCAGTCTATTCTCCACCTCCACCATACTATTACAAGTCCCCACCCCCACCACCAAAACACGAAGAACAACCCCCATACTACTACAAATCTCCTCCACCACCATCGCCATCTCCTCCACCATATTATTACAAATCTCCACCACCACCGGTCCACTCTCCACCTCCACCATACTACTACAAATCACCCCCACCACCGGTTCACTCTCCACCACCACCCTACTACTACAAGTCTCCACCACCACCAGTCCACTCTCCACCACCATATTACTACAAATCACCCCCACCTCCAATAAAGGCTCCGGCACCTACCTACCATTACAACTCTCCTCCTCCACCATCACCATCACCTCCACCCCCATACTACTACAAGTCCCCACCACCTCCATCGCCATCTCTTCATCCACCATACTACTACAAATCACCCCCACCACCGGTTCACTCTCCGCCACCACCATACTACTACAAGTCTCCCCACCCCCAATAAAAGCTCCAGCACCAACTTATCACTACAAATCCCCACCACCACCACCATCTCCTTCACCACCCCCACCATACTATTACAAGTCACCCCCACCTCCGGTGAAGGCTCCAGCACCTACATACCACTACAACTCCCCTCCTCCACCATCACCATCTCCCCCTCCCCCATACCACTACAAATCTCCCCCACCACCATCTCCCTCGCCCCCTCCTCCATACTACTACCACTCACCTCCCCCACCAGTGAAATCACCTCCACCTCCGGTCTACATTTATGCTTCTCCACCACCACCAATCCCCTACTAGATCCGGAAAGATCAACCGCACATCGTTCATGTAAGTAACATTTCAATTAAACCAAATAATTAATCATAAACCATTCCATATCCTAATTCATTTACAACATCAAAATTCCAGGTTCTAGTTTCACAGGAAGAATAAAGGCAGGTTCCGAGGAGTGGAGTTTTGGACAGCAAAACAGTTCCTTTTCAAGTCCATGGAATAAGGGTCTAAGCACTGCATTTGGGAGATACAGTTTTGATAACTCAGGCCTACAGATAACTTCCACTTCTTTGGTAGCACTGTTCCACCTGCTCTTAATTTATCGTAGTTGCGTAAGAAGAAAGTGAGGGTGTTTTGTTCTTTTAATTTATTAGTTTTTCTATTTATTGTTCGCATGTGTATTTGCTGTTTGGTGGATAATTTGTTGTTCTATGTGCACTACGAGTGTTGTTGACAATAAAGGAATATACTTATGTCCCAATGCCAATGCTTTGCATCAACAGCCTTTCACTCATCATTTTAGCTGTTTATAGGAATTAATTCAATCATGAAATCACATCCCTCTTAATATAGGTATTAGGCAATATAAATATTTTGTGTAAACCACACATTTAGTACTTTTTTTGAAATACACTTATTTAGTACTTCTATCAGTTTTTGTTGTTTGTTTTAGTACCTAAATTTTTACTTTTTCCAAAATTGTAATGTTTAGTTTTTGTTCCATTTTAATATTTCATCGTTAAAAATTTAACTAACGTGACTTTTTTGGTTAATTTACATCGTTAATCCCTTAACTATTTTCACTCCTATTTTGGTCATCAAAGTTTACATTTTTTAATTTAAAAATTCAACTTTTAAATTGTTCATGTTTTAATCAATCTAATATTTTATTAAATAATATTTTGTGACATGAGAATTTTTATAATTTTATTAATACATAATAAAAATAAAAAAATTAAATTTGAAAGTTAAAGGGATTAAATTAGGAATAATTTAAAAGTTAAATAATTAAATTAAAAAAATTAAATTTAAATAGCTAAAATAAGAGTAAAAAGATAGTTAAGTAATAAATGATATAATATACCTTTAAAAAAGTGTCAAGTTGCAAGGGTTTCATTAAGTTTTTAACAAACAAAATTAAATGTTAGATTTAATTTTGAAAAATTAAAATTTGAATACTAAAATAGAGCAAAACTGATAGTTTAAATACTAAACATATAATCTATTCAAATATTTTTTTAATTATTTACATATAATTTATTGTTCGATTAATTTATATAAAATATTATAATAAATATATAATATAAGGATGTTTAAGGTACAACAACCTTAATATACGGTTAAACAAAGACGCTATCGGAAATGTTAATATTTTTCTAATATTTTCGATAAAACCTTACCTTAAAATATTATTTTTTCTACCGGAATGTTAATATTAGGCGCTACTTAAAATGTTTAACATTTCCGGTAAAGCGCTACATAAAATATTATTTTTTTTACTAGAAATGTTAATATTAGACACTATCTAAAATATTATTTTTTTCTATCGAAAATTAGATAGTGAAATTAACATTTCCGGTAAAAATTTAACGTTTTAGGTATCATTTTACCGAAAATATTAAAAAATATTAATATTTTCAACCAAATTTTTTTAGTCGTATATTGAGACTACTGTACAACAAAACTACCCTAACTTCTTCTATTCCTTCTTTTTATTTATTTGTAGTGGAAATTAATAAATTAACTTTTTGATAAAAAAATAAAAAAGAAATGACAAAAGTAAAATAGATGAAGACTGCCAAGTCATTATCATAATCATGATCATCATCACTCGTCAATAATATGTCGTGGAATTAAGTTGATTGACAATTCAAAAGTGGAAATATAAAAAAGATTAATTAATTCAAAGAGGTAGCCCTCCCCCACATGCAGAATTATTCCTTTTTCCCCTACTTTTGGCTGCATCTTTCTAGGGTTTATAATTGAGTGCTGCCATAGCTGGATTTTTATTTATTCATGTCTCAAAAGAATATATTGACTAACAAATTACTTACATGGAACATGTTTTTTTTCTTTTTGGTTCTAAGTATTTGTCTTAATTAATCTGGGACGATTTAATCACATATTTAATTTTAGTGGTTGAATTTCTCAATCGATTTTTTTTACATATATAAAGAGTAGAAGATATTACTTAAGTAATATAAAGCTGATTACACATAACATGTTTTTGATATGACCTTTTGAACTAAATTTCTTTCCATTCGAATTTATAATCTTTCAAATGTTATAATAATATTAATAGTATCAATTGAATTAAAATTTATTTTTTATATTTAAATTTTTTATTGATTTAATTTTTATAATATTATCAAATCAAGTGAGGTCACTGGATCGAAGTAGTAGTTGAATAACAGCGTTCTGCCATAAATCAGCAACAAGTTATTGTTAAATAGTTATTATACTTGAAAAGTAATATAATATTTTTGGAAGAAGAACAAGTGATTTATGAGAAGAACAATGATTAAAATGACGATTTTTTTTTTAAAATTGAATGGTTAAATTTATTAAATTGTTTTAAATCAAGACTAAATTAATAGGTTATACCATTTTAAAAAATAATTTGGGTCTCAATGATTCAAATTTAGGTGAAATTTGTCTCGTCATGCAATGATATATTGACTAAAATACCATTTTTAAAATTTTAATTATTTGTATACAATTTATTTTGGTTTTTTTGGTTAAAATTTTAAGTGTTATGTTGGGTCGAGTATACCATTTATTTAAGAGATTAAATTTGGATCATAATAAATTATGTTAAACTAAAATTCGAAATACATCTCTATTATGCTAAACCTAAGTCCGAGAAACAAAAGTTCTCTCCGTCTCATTACCATTCAATGACGAATGCATATTGTGTATCCACTCATATATAAAAATTTTATGTTAATAATATATACGTACTCATCTTCAAAAATATTTTTAAATTCGATATTGTTTTCATCTCGTTCATGATTCGAATCGTGATTATTTAATTTATTTTAACAAAATGCATGTTCAAGTAGCACTCAAACAAGTTGTAGTCCAAAAGAACAATTCGTTCATTATAAATATGGGATAAGAACGCGACATCTTTTGTTCTTTTGTTTTGTCTCAAAAAATATGGCAACACAAGTGGGGATCGTTTCAGCAGCCATAACAGTACCATTCTGAAATGTAAACTCTCCGCATCATTCAAATATAAAACATATAAATAAAGCCAAAATTCTTGGAAGAAATTGAAAGAAAAAAGGGGAAAATTATGTGTTTAGTACCTAAACTATCATTTTTTTGGGTCTATTTTGGTATCTAAACTTTCAATTTATTCAAAACCATAGCTAAAATTTAGTTTTTATTTCATTTTAATATTCCGTTCAAAATTTAACATTAAATTTTAAAAAAGAAATGAAAGCGTAGGTACTAAAATGGATCAAAACTGATAGTTTGAGTACTAAATACGTTAAGTTTTTAACAGTGAGAGTATTAAAATGAAACAAAAACTAAACATTATGAATGATTTTAATTTTTTTTTGAAAGTTTAGGTACTAGAACTGATCAAACATTAATAGTTTAGGTACTAAACTTGTTTACCTCAAAAAAAAAATACTTTTTTGTTAGTCAATAAATAGATGGGTAAATTGCACCACAATGCATTCAATTATTAATAAAATTACAGACGAGTCCCTAAATTTCAGAAATTATAAATGGACCACAATGCATTCAATTGTTTTCCGGTGAAGGCTCCAGCACCTACATACCACTACAACTCCCCTCCTCCACCATCACCATCTCCCCCTCCCCCATACCACTACAAATCTCCCCCACCACCATCTCCCTCGCCCCCTCCTCCATACTACTACCACTCACCTCCCCCACCAGTGAAATCACCTCCACCTCCGGTCTACATTTATGCTTCTCCACCACCACCAATCCCCTACTAGATCCGGAAAGATCAACTGCACATCGTTCATGTAAGTAACATTTCAATTAAACCAAATAATTAATCATAAACCATTCCATATCCTAATTCATTTACAACATCAAAATTCCAGGTTCTAGTTTCACAGGAAGAATAAAGGCAGGTTCCGAGGAGTGGAGTTTTGGACAGCAAAACAGTTCCTTTTCAAGTCCATGGAATAAGGGTCTAAGCACTGCATTTGGGAGATACAGTTTTGATAACTCAGGCCTACAGATAACTTCCACTTCTTTGGTAGCACTGTTCCACCTGCTCTTAATTTATCGTAGTTGCGTAAGAAGAAAGTGAGGGTGTTTTGTTCTTTTAATTTATTAGTTTTTCTATTTATTGTTCGCATGTGTATTTGCTGTTTGGTGGATAATTTGTTGTTCTATGTGCACTACGAGTGTTGTTGACAATAAAGGAATATATTTATGTCCCAATGCCAATGCTTTGCATCAACAGCCTTTCACTCATCATTTTAGCTGTTTATACGAATTAATTCAATCATGAAATCATATCCCTCTTAATATAGGTATTAGGCAATATAAATATTTTTGTAAACCACACATTTAGTACTTTTTTTGAAATACACTTATTTAGTACTTCTATCAGTTTTTGTTTGTTTTAGTACCTAAACTTTTACTTTTTCCAAAATCGTAATGTTTAGTTTTTGTTCTATTTTAGCATCTCATCGTTAAAAATTTAACTAACGTGACTTTTTTGGTTAAATTACATTGTTAATCCCTTAACTATTTTCACTCCCATTTGGTCATCAAAGTTTACATTTTTTAATTTAAAAACTCAACTTTTAAATTGCTCATGTTTTAATCAATCTAATATTTTATTAAATAATATTTTGTGACATGATAATTTTTATTATTTTATTAATACATAATTAAAATAAAAAAATTAAATTTGAAAGTTAAAGTGATTAAATTAAGAATAATTTAAAAGTTAAGTAATTAAATTAAAAAAATTAAACTTAAATGACCAAAATAAGAGTGAAAAGATAGTTAAGTAATAAATGATATAATATACCTTTAAAAAAGTGTCAAGTTGCAAGGGTTTCACTAAGTTTTTAACAAACAAAACTAAATGTTAGATATAATTTTGAAAAATTAAAATTTGAATACTAAAATAGAGCAAAACTGATAGTTTAAATACTAAACACATAATCTATCCAAATATTTTTTTAATTATTTACATATAATTTATTGGTCGATTAATTTATATAAAATTTTATAATAAATATATAATAACATTTTTTATTAAATTTAAATATAAATAAATTTTACTGGAGCACATTGGTGCACTTTACCTTCTAAAAGAAAATTATGAACAAAGACGCTATCAGAAATATTAATATTTTTCTAATATTTTCGATAAAACTTTACCTTAAAACATTATTTTTTACTTAAAATGTTTAATATTTTCGGTAAAACATTACATAAAATATTTTTTTTTTACAATAAATGTTAATATTAGGCGATACCTAAAATGTTATTTTTTTACCGAAAACTATATAGCGAAATTAACATTTCCGGTAAAAATTTAATGTTTCAAGTAAAATTTTACCGAAAATATTAAAAAATATTAATATTTCCAACAAAAAATTTTTTAGTCGTATATTGAGACTATCGTACAACAAAACTACCATAACTTCTCCTATTCCTTCTTTTTATTTATTTGTAGTGGAAATTAATAAATTAACTTTTTGATAAAAAAAATAAAAAAATGACAAAAGTGAAATAGATGAAGACTGCCAAGTCATTGTCATAATCATGACCATCATCACTCGTCAATAATTTGTCGTGGAATTAAGTCGATTGACAATTCAAAAGTGGAAATATAAAAAAGATAAATTAATTCAAAGAGGTAGCCCTCCCCCACATGCAGAATTATTCCTTTTCCCCCTACTTTTGGCTGCATCTTTCTAGGGTTTATAATTGAGTGCTGCCATAGCTGGATTTTTATTTATTCATGTCTCAAAAGAATATATTGACTAACAAATTACTTTCATGGAACATGTTTTTTTTTTCTTTTTGGTTCTAAGTATTTGTCTTAATTAATCTGGGACGATTTAGTCACATATTTAATTTTAATGATTGAATCTCTCAATTGAAATTTTTTACATATATAAAGAGTAGAACTCGAGACATTACTTAAGTAATATAAAGTTACTTACACATAACATGTTTTTGATACGACATTTTGAACTAAATTTCTTTCCATTCGAATTTATAATCTTTCAAATGTTATAATAATATTAATAGTATCAATTGAATTAAAATTTATTTTTTATATTTAAAATTTTTATTGATTTAATTTTTATAATATTATCAAATCAAGTGAGGTCACTGGATCGAAGTAGTAGTTGAATAACAACGTTCTGCCATAAATCAGCAACAAGTTATTGTTAAATAGTTATTATATTCGAAATGTAATATAATATTTTTGGGAGAAGAACAAGTAATTTATGAGAAGAACAAAGATTAAAATGACGATTTTTTTTAAATGAATGGTTAAATTTATTAAATTGCTTTAAATCAAGACTAAATTAATAGACTATACCATTTTTAAAAATAATTTGGGTCTCAATGATTCAAATCTAGGTGAAATTTGTCTCGTCATGCAATGATATATTGACTAAAATACCATTTTTAAAATTTTAATTATTTGTATACAATTTATTTTGGTTTTTTTGGTTAAAATTTTAAGTGTTATGTTGGGTCGAGTATACCATTTATTTAAGAGATTAAATTTGGATCATAATAAATTATGTTAAACTAAAATTCGAAATACATCTCTATTATGCTAAACCTAAGTCCGAGAAACAAAAGTTCTCTCCGTCTCGTTACCATCCAATGACGAATGCATATTGTGTATCCACTCATATATAAAAATTTTATGTTAATAATATATACGTACTCATCTTCAAAAATATTTTTAAATTCGATATTGTTTTCATCTCTGTTCATGATTCGAATCGTGATTATTTAATTTATTTTAACAAAATGCATGTTCAAGTAGCACTCAAAAAATATGGCAACACAAGTGGGGATCGTTTCAGCAGCCATAACAGTACCATTCTGAAATGTAAACTCTCCGCATCTTTCAAATATAAAACATATAAATAAAGCCAAAATTCTTGGAAGAAATTGAAAGAAAAAAGGGGTAAACTATGTGTTTAGTATCTAAACTATCATTTTTTGTCTATTTTGGTACCTAAACTTTCAATTTATTCAAAACCATAGCTAAAATTTAGTTTTTATTTTATTTTAATATTCCGTTCAAAATTTAACATTAAATTTTCAAAAAGAAATGAAAGCGTAGGTACTAAAATGGATCAAAACTGATAGTTTGAGTACTAAACACGTTAAGTTTTTAACAGTGAGAGTATTAAAATGAAACAAAAACTAAACATTATGAATGATTTTTTTTTTGAAAGTTTAGGTACTAGAACTGATCAAACATTAATAGTTTAGGTACTAAACTTGTTTACCTCAAAAAAAAACTTTTTTGTTAGTCAATAAATAGATGGGTAAATTGCACCACAATGCATTCAATTATTAATAAAATTACAAACGAGTCCCTAAATTTCAGAAATTATAAATGGATCATTCAATGGACTAATTATTACTAATACGTTAGGACTGTGTTCGTGTAGCATATATTAATTTTGTAGTTATAGTTGGCTATCTTGATTGTAATAATCGATCAACTAAGTATTCTGATTGTTATAATTGATAAATAAAATAATCTAGGACAAAGTACACAAATGGTCCTCCAACTATAAGGTGTTGTTTTATTGAGTTCTCGAACTATTAAAAATTATAAAATAATCCTCCCAACTATAGGGTGTTGTTTTATTAAATTCTCTGACTATTAAAAGTTACAAAATGGTCACTCAACTATTCATATACTCCAAACTCATCATTTTTCATAAAAATTTGGCAATCGTTTGAGGTGGTCGTTAAATTGTTCACTGAGATATGACATAGTTTGATCCTAGAATCATTTTAATTGTATTTTGTGGGCCGATTCTCCATTTACATTATGTTTGTCGAGGTGGTGCTCAAAAGTAACAGTGTTGCCAATATACATCATTAATATATAAATTTATCTTATCTTGGTTAACGGATTAACGTCCAGCTCATGAGACGAGCGTCATTGTTTAAATGGAAAAGGATAATTTTGAAACATTTGAATAGTTGGGTAATCATTTTATAATATTTAATAGTCGGGACTCAACAAAAAAAAATCTTATAGTCAGGATAGTGGCGGAACTTGGTGAAAAAGTTTGGAGGGCCAACTTAAAACTTTAAAATATTTTGATGTTGAAATTAAAATTTTCAAAATTTTTGAAGGGTTTAATTTATAGTTTTTTTCCAAAAATATTAGGGCATAACTAAAATTTTTGAAAATTTGAGAGGCTTAATAAGATTTTTTTAAAAAATTTATGGGTGGGGATTTAATTAAGAATATTAAAAAATTAAATTTTAATATGGATTTTTAAAAAAAATTTGGGGGCCAAATTAATTTTTTTGAAAATTTAAATAGTCTAAGTTATATTTTTAAAAATTTTAGGAGGCATGGCCCCTACTAGCCACTGAATCGGCGATCATTTTATAACTTTTAATAATTATAAAACTCAATAAAGCAACATTCTATAATCAGAAGACTATTTGTGCACTATACCAATAATCTAATTATTACTAAAAAGTTAGTATCTGATTCATTTTAATAATAGAATAACTTTTTTTATAACAACTAATTAACTGAATGACCTGTTTATAACGTTTTAAATTTAAGTGACTCTTTTATAATCACAATAATAATTAATGGACCTATGACGTAGTTTATCCTCATTTAATAAAGTGGACACGTCTGTCGACAGACAATCATGAAATAGCCACTTCTTGTTTCATTTTAGTCAAATTAATTAACGTGCAAAAGCATGATGTTATATTCAAGGATTTTGTCATGTTGTTATGATTGTTATAGGCGTACTACGTTACAATATAACAAAAATAAATATTAATATAAAAATAATTTCTGATAAAGTAAAATAAAATTTTAATCATTTTTTTTTAAATTTAGTTTTTATT